ATCTAAATTTCAATCTTAAGTTTACATATACTTTTTTTCCTTTGTAATAGTTTTACACATAATCAACAATTGGCAGCGTTACAAAAAGTCATACCAGGATTGGATAGAGGGGATTCGTCAGCGTTAGTAGCGTTAAGATTAGTTCCATTACCGGACTTTACCGTATATCCTGATGGTACTAAAAATCAAGATATAAATTATCGTACGTTACCATTTCGATTATTGCGTATGTTGGTATGGCCACGTGGATATACCATTACCAAGCCGTCAAAATTATCTCCATTCTTAAGAGTAATAAGAAAAGATAAGAATGGCATGTTATTTGATAATCCTGCAATGGAAGCTGTAATAGATTTTAAATGGGGGTCTGCACGCAATCATTTTATGCGTCACGCATTGTTATTTTTTTGTTTTGCTGGTTTATTTTGTGTATTGACCGGCGCTGTAAGAAATAGTTTTGTAAAAAAAACTATCGTTTCAGCTAAACAGGCTGATGATGACGTTGCGTTGCAATTTAAAATAATTATAAATATTATGGTTTTATTATTTTATTATCTGGGTTATTATCTTTTGGCTAGTGAAGTTGTGCAATTTATGCATGAAGGTGTGAGGAGATATGTTAGCGTTTATAATTTCTTTGATTTAGCTAGTATCATAATGCCTTTAGCTACATATACTGTTGAACTGATAAGAGAATCTAGAGGCGATGTACCTCCAAATCAATTAAAACAGTTAACGATTGCTATTGCATTTACTGTATTGGTACTATGGATGGAGTTGGTAAGTTACATTAGCAAAAGCTAATTATTTGTTTTGATAGAGACAGATATATTAACAAATTTTTTTTTTTTTTTAGTTCTTATTGCTCAGATATTTCTCAGGAACAGGAAATTTTATTTATATAATTATAAATATTATGCGGAACGTCTGGCCTTTCATCGCGTTCATGGGTAAATAATATTAATTTAATAGAAAATTTAATAAATGCCCTAGAATTAATAATAAATTTTAAATTGGTTTAATAGGTATTGTGGTATTTGCACACGGGCATGCAATGTAATTGTCAATATATATGTGTTTATCTATTTATTTTTCAAAAAAATTTTCTTCTAACTTTCTTGCTCTCTAGGTATTTATTGCTTCGTAATCCAGATGGGATAGACGTCAAACCGAATGGATCACAGTTTACTGTCACGGATCTAAATGGAGTTCCCCAAAATCAATTAATCTCACAATCTTTTAATTTAAGCGATCCTACAGATAATTATTTTGCAAATTTTGGTCAATCCGTAGCAGCCGTTTATTTCTGGATAAATGGACGTTGGGATCAATTAGAACAATGGGATTTTTGGCCAGTCGGTCTATTGAGTTTTATAGCTAGTGTTTTGTTGGTTATTGTTATGCAAAATATGCTAATAGCATTTATGTCGTAAGTGTTAGTTATTTATCGTTAAAAAGCAGAGATGTAAGAAATTAAATATATTTTTTTGTATATTGGTAACTTAGGGGCGTTTTTGATGAGGCTAAATCGGACGGTAGATTAGCTGTGTTGAAATATCGAGCCGAATTAATTGCTGATTACGAAACATTAGAAAAACCATTTGGTGATTCAAAAGGAAATCCACGGCATATATTCTATATAAGTGATACAAATAAGATCTCCAAGTGGTTAAGAAAGTGTCAAGAATACTTGTCATTAAGAGCTTCAATTAGATTCAATGAATTTAAATATCATAATGTTGATAGTAATAATGATGATGATGATGATGATGATGATGATGATGATAATGATACTTCAAAAGAGGGAAGTAGCAGTGGAGATGCTAAAGAATGGGATATCACTGGATTGGATGTTGATAGTTATAAACAAAAGAATATTGAACGAATGAATCGAAAAAGTGGCATTGAATTTTATAGTAGTTGGAAGTCGAGTTCTAGTGATCACAAAGGATTAATTTCTGGCAAAACTTCTAATGGATCAATTGATGATAGGAATATTCAAAATAAGAAAGTGTTCTTTAAAGATAATATAAGAAGGTCGTCTTCTATTGATGATGGTTTATCTACGGTCGCAAGTCCGCGTGCATATGAAATTTCATCCATTAATGAAGATGTGAATAGTATTCATGGTGAAATCTCGACATTAAAAAATTCTGTGAAATCCGTTGAAGGTTCTATTGACAATAGGTTAAATTCATTGGAAGGTAAATTAGTTGAAATGATGGATTTATTGAATAAATTAACTACTGCTAATAATTTAAATAGTTCCGGTGATATAAGTTCAGGAACTGGAAATATATAGTAATATTTTTTCTTTTTATTTGAACAATTACAACGGCTATTTATCGATTCTATTTAAGTTGTTTTCTTTTCCTTTTTTTTTTTTAAAAAAAAAAAAATTTCACAATATTAATATTCTTGTGTTTAGATACTTTAATACCATTTGTATAATATTTTATTTTATTTTATTTTTTTATTTTATTCTGGGTTGGGAAAATTTAATAAAATATCTAATAATTAAATTTTTTTGAGAAGACGCGTTAATTAATTCACGAATGACAAATTATTTAGTCATAATTATACACAAACTTCACAGGAAGTGATTCTACCAATCCTGGCAACTTATATTGTCAAGGTACTTACTTGACAATCAGATAATCGTTAACAACCGAAACATATACTTGTAGACCAATTCAAGTAAACTTGTAAAAATTTTAAGATGGTCTTAATTTTACACCGCGTGATTTATTGGATAATTTTGATTCATGCGAGAACAATTTTCGGCCTACATTAACAGATTAATTGTCTCGGAGGTACAAAAAGTATTAAAAAAAAAAACAAAATATTTCATGTTTTATTGATAAATTACAACTATTATTAACAGAAAATTCTTGTTCATATCTAATTATTAAGTAATAAATCTAACATTTGGGTTTCATTTGATCTATCTTCTTCGTTCTCTACTGTTCTAATATTTTCCCATCTACTCTCAAAAATTATACTCCTATTTTTATTTATATATTTTTCACAGCGTTCTTTTAGTTTTAAGGCATTACAATCCTTTGCCCATTCTAAGATTTCACATACATTATTGACGTTAATGTATTCCTTCTCCTTCATAATTATAAATTCTACTATATCTTTAAGTGGTTTACCTTCATACCTATCCGTAATTTTCAACAAATCAATAAGAAATGACAAACAATAACTAACATAATCCTCATCTGGTCCAAATTCGGCTTTCTTGCGTAAAATAGAATTTTTCGCTATTTCAAAAGTTTCTCCATATAACCATTGAAGGAATACTTGAAATGCATCTGATCGAATATCTTCTATTATAACTTCAACTAATCTATTCTCTATCGATTCGGCTGTGTGGCCACAAAACATTTTATGAAAATAACTTGATGCAGCTAATAAAAGAATAAATCAAAATTTTAATGAAAAAATAAAAAAATAAAATATAAATATGTATATATATATATATATAAAAAAAAAAAAAAAAAAATTATACCAGAAAGCACGTAACGATTAGCGCCAATCTTCGTTGCATTTTCACCGACGATAAAAATCACGTCATGGTGTCGTGTATCAGGATGACTTTTGAGTTTGTCCATTAGGTTTTTAAATAAATGCTCCTTTTGATCGTGTTTTCCATCTCCTCCATTCATTTCATTCTCGTCTAATTCATCCAACTCTTCCAACTTTTGAACTCCACCAAGTATCAATAAGTTCTTGTAAGGCATTAAACATTCATTAACTTTGTGCAATCCTGCTCTAATATCTTCTTCTATTCCAAATACAAGCTCTCTTCCTGCTAACCAATTTTCTCTATCGAGTAGATCTTCTCCATTCAAGAATAATTTCCTCTCGGTATTGATTCTCTCGGAAATGGGACGAATCAGGTTGTTTTCTTGCGAAAATGCGTTCATTTCTTCATAAATTTTTTTGATCATTCCTTTAATGGCTGGATAATTTCCTGAAGACCTCCAAGAACTACTTTGTCCGCGTATTTTCTCAACAACTAAAAACCAATGATTGATAACATCCTCAACAAATGGTTTTCCAATTGTAGGATAACGGTCAATAAATGCTTCAGTAGGCTCAACACTTTTATCAAAGAAAGGCCTTTGCGTCCAACACACTTCCTTATATTTTTGAGAGCAAAGCAATGCAAAACTTTCAAATCCCGAAGTTTCTATCGCATTCTCATAAAATCTTGAGTTTTGAAGAAATTCTGATGGGATGAATTTGATGTGCATGATTTGATTCCATTGATCGTCTGAGAAATTCAGATGATTCGAATATAAATATTCCAATACAAACTTTGCTCGGGTTTTGACCACAGTCATGGGAAACCTGGTAGGTTGGTCAATTTGTGATCTAATCTCTTGTACGCATTCAATGAATGTTTTGCTATTCACCTGAAGCTTAAGACCAATTCTTCCTAGAGCCATCATCACCCTATGATTACCGCATAATACTGAAGGTAGAAATTTGTCGGTGTCTTTAAAAACATGATAGAATAAAGGAACTGTGCTGTCGTATAAAGTATTTGCCATCACCAATTTTAGTGATTTATTAGGGATTACTGGACGTCGCGCAAAAAAATTTTCAATATCTGAATTCCCTAAAGTTAAAGCTTTCTGCAAGAAAGTTATATATTCTTGAGATGGCTCTGTAGTTATATATTCGTGTGGTGGTGTTGACATATAATCTTGGGATGGTGCAATTACGTGGATGAAAATAAGCTCAACGTACTGTTTTTCACTTATGGAGGTAACACCTAATCCAAAGAGACTATGGTAATCAGGTTCATCACATTTATAAAAATGAGCATCTTGTTTAAATGAAAAGAATGGAAGAGTATTGGGAAGGAGGAATCCCGATTCGGCATCAATAAACTTGTTATCGTAAGAATGTGTTGCCCATATCGGCAAAGAACGAAGGATTTTCATAAATCTTTCTTGTTTTTGACCCTGTTCTGTTACGATGCAAGATGTTAAATTAAAAATTATTACCAATAAAATTATTATTATTATAATTATTCACTTACTTGTTAAACTTTTGTGATTGTCATAAACGTATGATCTAAATCTTTCATAATCCTTAAGTGAAAGATTACTAGTTTCAAATAATCGATTCATAGTCAAGTTCAATAAAACACAAGCCCTTTCCAAGGAATTAATAACATTCACTGGAGTGCATTGCAATATGCATTGCTTAAGATTTGGATTGGCAGTATCTGTAAACTTCATATTCGTGAATCGTAACTTTAGCTTTTTTAACACCGGATATATCATACTTCCTTCGGGCACATTTAAAACGGGATTATTCCCGTCAAGTCGAACAAGCACCTCCTTAGGTTGAATAATTGGTAATATAGGAAATTTCGAAAGTTTCCCATAATCGATAGCTTTGGCGAACTTTAATTTTGACCAAATTTCCTCTAGCCATTCGCCATTTATACCTTTTCCATTATGATCGTAATCCAATTCATTTCTCTCTTCATATTTAAACATTAACGACAGAAGATGTAAAATTGCATCAGCGTCAAACTCTTTAATATTTGTATATACAGAAAATTCATTCTGTTTAAAGAAATTCAATAGATCTTTTGGTAACTTAACGGTAACAAATTTAGATGGCCTAACATTTGGAAATAGGTCTATATGTTTTTGTTTCCCAATGTAGTATATTTCACCAAACTTCCCAACCGAACCATCGTTCAACGGAACCAATGGTAAACCAACAAGTTCTTTAAAAGAAATATTATTATTACCAAGAATATATCGAAGAAATATGAATATGGAATCTTGAAGAGTCTTTTTGTTATCAGAATTTTCATTATTAATCTTTCGTTCTAAAGAAGATATAAATTCATTTTCTCGATTTGTTCGCAAAACTTCACAAACCATTTGTTCGTTGATTAATGGTAAATCGAAACCTAGAGATCTTTTTTGTTTTGCAATATCTTTAATATGCTCAATTTTGTTCTTGTCAAGTTTCAAAATCGGAATTCCCAAATCAGTCAAAACATCAGCAATAATCTCTTCTTCACCATCATCAATTTTACCATCTTTTAATGGTACAAATTTACCTCCATTTGCTTCGGTCCAGAATACTCTATGACCACCATGACCTAATTTTTTAATGACAGTTGATCCGTAACTTTTGTACAGATTCGTAGTTACATTATCGTTGATCGGCCACAGGTTTTTTAAAGTATGTGGAATGAAATCCGCCTTATCTTTTACATGTCTAATTTTTTCAAGATCTACAATACGTTCGAATAATCTAATATGCAACGACGGTAAAATATCAAAGAAAATATATCGATTCCATTTTGTATCATCGCACTCTTTTAGCAAGAAATCATTATCAGACTGCATAAGATTGCTTCTGGAACTAGACAGAGAAAAGTTTCCATTTAAATGGACCCCCAAATTGGTACTTATCGATAGAGATAAGTAAGAAAACATTTCTCCTTTGAGTTCAGGAGGATTAGGAAACTGCAATGTAAAATAAATATTTCAATAATATGTTTTAATATGAAAGTTGTAAAGAGATATATAATAAAATTAAATTTACCGATTCAGCTTTTAGTTCGTTCAAAGATTTTTCATTAGATTGAGCAAGTAATGAAGCAACTCCGCCTCTTGGCTTTATTGATAAAAGATGAAGAAAATTAACATTTTAATGATGTAAAATTAATTAATTCATTAAATATAAATTTACCTTAAAATTTTTTTTTTTTGAAAAATCTGATAATGCTGATTTAATAATAGTATTAAATCCTCCCGTGCATAAAAGCCATATTTCAGAAGCTTTTTTGTTTTGTGATTTGTTAATTTCGATCTCCATTTGATATAGTTGAATTTTATCGATTACGCTTCTACGAATATTGCGATCATCATGTGACATATTAATTCGAGTTTCCCATATCGGTCGAGGAATTTTTTCCTGTTCTTTTATGTGATGTAAGCTACATGATTCTATATTCCTTAAAAAGAGCATCTCTTTATTACTCTGAACTTCACTGAGTAGTTTAAAGATTTTTTTAATGTCAACAGGTTGATCTGAAATTTCACTTTTCTCTGCCAACTTAGAAGTTCTAATTGGAAGCCTAAACAATGTCCCATTGAATTCTTCTGAAAAGTCACAACCCATAACCTCATAAGGAAGACATTGATCTGGAAAATTTTTCTTAAATTCCTTTTCAATAAAATTACATTTCATGCCACCACACTTTCTAGGAGGAGACCCTTGTGCTGGAAGATATTTTGCACTTGGGTCTATAAATACAATATGTTTCCCACTTACAAAGCTAGGTATATCTGTAAGATGAAAAGCACAATTAAATCCCAGTCCAAACCTTCCAATTTTGGAATCATCATCACCTTTTCCTCCAACTCCAAGATTTTTCAAAGATCGAAAGTCTTTTTCAGTAAATTTAGCATCATTATATATCCAAATCGCAGGACCCTGCCAATCTTCTATTTCCTCAGTCAATAAATATTTATTAGAAGAATGATACTGGAATTTTTTTCTTTCATCTATTGTTACTGAAAACTGTGTGGCTTTAGCATCATCTGCATTCTACGTTTGGAGAATACATGTAAATGCTCAGACGTCATTATTATTTTATAAAAAGAAAACATTTAAAATTTTATCACATACTTGAAGGAACTCTTTAAACAATTGATTTAATGAATAATCCTAACGAAGCGAAAAGATTTAAAATGAGAAAATAATGTCTAATGTGGTAAAATAAATAAATAAAAAAAAAAATACCTTAATAATATTTTTAATTCTGGTAGTTAATGATTCATTTTGTTCAAAAATCTCATCTCCAGCTAAAGATAAAATGAAAGTGGAGATCAGGTAACGTGTAAAACAATAATGTATGGATTATGATTATAATAATTACCGCACAATTTTCCTTTCAAATGTTGAATTCCTAAATCTTTTGCCATGTGCTGGGTTACAAGTTTGTGAGTGATTTTGTATTCGCTTTCATTTTCTTCGTCAAATCTATCTCCGATATCATTATATTGAATTTCATGCCATCTTACAAGTCTATTTTTGTTGCTTGGAACTAATAATCCATCCAAATTTTCTGTGTGATTTTCTCCTCTCTTACTCTTAGAATTCCTTTGATGCTTGGATATAAGTTCAAGAGCTTTAATGACCCTTTTAATTTCGTCTGCTGATAAATCTCTATCCATGTTTCCTTTCACCATATTACTAATAATTGTAATCAAATCCTTGATTTCAAGCTCATTTCGAACTCCCATTTCTTTGAATAAGTACCAAAAATCACTTTTATATCCTTCAGGAAGTTCAACGAATGAGGAATTATTATTTTGAAATTCAATTGGAAGACTAAAGACAACTTTATCAGTTGGATGTAATGTATTTCTGCATAAAATCCACGGATGATTTTTCAAACATTTCTTCATGAAATCGGCTTCTTTCATAGAAGTCTCATCGTTTGCTCGAAGAGCATCATTGATATATTTGTAAATCGCGTTACAAATCATTTCCAAATGCTCAGGTGGTTGCTTGTTAGACAAACTAACTTGACAAAACTCCAACTGCTTTAGCACCGTTTTCACTTCGGGATATGTATCCCATTTCAAATATTTTAAAAATCTCTTGTTCTTAACTTTATATTCAAGTAGTGGAGTAACCAGACAAACTAAATATTTATCTTTTTGACTATAACAATTTTGACGCTTTGAGAAAATTTTCTTCTCAGAAGCGTCAACGGTAGGAATCCATTCTGTTTCTAGAATAGTCTTCAGTGCATCGTTAACTTTTGTCTCACGAGTATTTCGATTTTGTATAACAAACGTATCCCACTTGTCATCAATATATTTAAAAATCTTAAACGCTTTTGCGTGAATTAAATATTCGCGAACATCAGGTATCTTTCTTTTTTTGACAATAGAATTGATTCGAGAATTAACATCATCTGGAGAAAGAATTGATCTCATCCCTAATAATTTTAAATTCGAAAAGAACTTGTTGGAAGCCGAGGCCTTTGGGACGCCATATTTCCCAGCAGGAAAGACTTGTTCTTCCTCAAAAAATAGACCAGTTATTTCCCTTTCTTCTGGATCAAATAATTCTGTTGGTTTAGCTAATTTTATGTTATCAGGCATTTGCTGCTGAAGTGACATTTTTAATGTGCCAACAGGTACAAAAGAAGTTCTTCCAAGAACATCCTTCAAGTTTGAATCATGATCAAGTAAGAAAGGTAATTTATCAAAAAGTTTGTCAATTACTATATCTAAGTCAGTCTGCTGCTGCAAATAAAGGAATGGAATTACATAATCTTTCCAATATTCATATGAATTTAATCGCGGAATCTTAATTATATCTTCCAATATGTAAGATAAATTTTGTGAGCTTGTACTTAGAAATCCCCCCATGTTGCTTGGATAAATAACTTTTCCATATGTATTTTCATCACTTTTAGGTAGAAGATACCAACTTTTCTTTGCAGGTAATAATGGGATTGAATAAGTATGATCAACTTCTATAAAAATTGGAAGATGCTTAATGATTTCAATATGGTTCGAATTAAAGTGATACTTATTGGCAAGTCGTAAGTGATTTGATAAGTGATCAACGAGCGTTGACGCTTCATGGATTTTCAATTCGTGATTCAAATTTTTTGGGTAAGAAGAATCGGTTCGTAAAGAATTTAGAACTGATAAAATATCATCAGGCCTAATAATATATCGAGTTACTCTGACAAAATAATAATAATAATAATAATAAATAAATAGAAGGGTCATTTAGTTTATTAAAACACCATACAAAAGCAGATTATGCAGAAATACTTACTTGGCCCATTTAGAAACTTCACTACGGTCAAATTCATCTTCCACAAAAACAGCACCAAATTTTTCGAAAATAGAACTTAAATTAGTAGAAATATTCTTGCTTGTTTGATTAGAAAAGATTTTTTTAGGAGTATTTAGCTTTCTGAGAGTAGAGCGGCTTGTCGGTAATAAAGGAATATCTTCAAACTTTGTTAAATCCCAATTTCTATACTTTAAGTTATCCCATAACTTATAAACCCATTCACGATGATCAGACATTTGTATCTCTTCAGAGTTTGATAAAGACTTTTTAATAATTCCGATCAAATTCCAGTTACGATCAACGATACTCAATTTCAATGAGAATCTAATCATATTTGCAACAGCAACTTCGTCCAAGACTTTAATGTTTAGATTCCATCCAGCTTTTGCAAACTCATACAAACTTTGGTATAATCCGAAATCAATTGATTTGTCAATGAAATTGTCCAATTGATCTTTGAAGATATCGAGTTCATGATTTTTGTAGTCATCGCGTGGACAAATGTACACGTGAGAATTGCTGGAAAGTGATAAAGTACCAAGCGTACCATCCGCGAGCGGGATCATTTTGAAACCTTCTAATTCATTGAATTTTTTGTCTTTTAAGATGTAACCAAATAACTGAAGTATTTCTTTTCTCGATATTGTCAAGGTTGTATTGTTATCTTGTGTATCATTCCATCTATTACGATTTTGGTTTAAATAAGTGCGAATAATGGCAGGAGAAAAATATCTAAGAGAACCTTCGTGATTAGAATCTTTTAATGCTTTAATGATATCATGCGAAACTAATATTACAGGGAAACCAATCTTTCCGAGTATTTTAGATAAACCGTAATTCGATCTCGGATCTTCAAAATAACCATTGGACAAAGATAGCCAATGAAATTCTTGAAGCGATGACTTAAGATATGATTTTGCTGGTATATTAGCAACTTTTCCAATGGGGCTTGATGAAGAAGGACCTTTAAATACACGATCTTCGACGCCGAGACAATTTATGACATTTTGCAAAAGATCCTTGCAAAATGTAGATATATTAACTGTTGAATTACTTTCGATTATTGGCCAGAATCTATACAAATTATCTGGATTTATATCGATGACTTTTAATGGAATTTCACGAAGAAATTCCGCCCAAGCCTTTGGTAAAATATTTTCAAATAAATAACGGTTCCAAGTAACTTTAAGACGCGCCAATGCATCAGCCGCCTAAGATGCAAATCAAAAAAAAAAAAAATTGTATAAATTATTCGAAATTCCACAAAATATAATTGATGAATATTATATGAGTGATTAATTACCAGGTCTTCATTATCTGCTGCTGACCATAAAGAACGTCGATTAGTGCTAACCTGTTTAGTAAATTAAAGAATTTAATATAAAAAGATGATAATTATAATATGATAATATCAAAACTTCTTACCGCGAAATATCCATTCACAGAGACTTGAAAGGGCATAGATACCGGAAGAGGTAAGAAGCAAAATAATCTTCCCATAATGTTTAACCAATTCAAAGGGACAGCTAGTCCAACATTAGGAATAAACTTGTATTCTCCTATATCCTTATTGAATTTCTCTTGGAAATATGCTTCAACTTGATATATATCATCGAGATAATTCAAAATCAACCACGAGCTAACCTCTCTATTCTCCATAGAATCGCCTTTCTGCCGAGAGAACGAAGCAACGTAAGTTGTATGTGATTGATTACTTTTACAAAGTTTTTTTGATTTTAACGAATCCATCATTGATACGATTTTCTTTACTATCAAATGACGTTGCTCTCGAACTCTGTTAGCATTTTCCAATCGGATCGTATATAGTAAATTAGGTTCAGTAGCACCTACTTTCAATTCATAAAACGAAATACATTCGATATATTTCAGAAATAGTAGGCAATTAATACTTTCATTCTCGTAAAATTTGTTAAACATTTCTAAAATCTCGTCAGGTTTATAAACTTTTTTAGAAATGTTCGAATCAATAGAATCTTCAGTAGTCCGAAGAGGATAACGAAATAAAGTGCCTTTAAATGGTTTATCGCACGGGATTCTGAAAGGAGCAAATTGATGAGGATATTCCTTCGCCAAATCTTCTTCGACAAAGTCGAATTGAACACCACCTTCAAAGTACCATTCATGTGGATCAAGAATCACGTATTTATCACCGGTAATGAAAGATGGAGAATCCGTAATATGATAAATTGAATTGAAGCCGACGCCCATCACTAAAAAAGGTATAAAAAGATTAACAACGATAGATATCTCTCAATAAATTATAGAATGTAAAAACAATTTTACCTCCGATCTTATCAAATTGATCGCGTTTTTCACTATTAGCCAATTTCAATAGAGATTGAAAATCCCTTTCTTCAAAAATGGTATTATTTTTTGATAATAGTGCAGGACCTTGATATCTATCAAGTTTCAAATTTGTTCTTTGATAATTATCCTCCAGATCCGGTTCAAATACACTATTCGAAGGATAAGTATTATGATCCAAAATGAAAACTTGTTCAGTGCTTTTTGCATCGTCAGAATTTTGGAGAATTTCACGAAGAACTTGTGAACCATCGGGATATTCTTCAAGAATTTTACGTAAACGGAGGGTGTAAGGTTCTCGAGGCTTAAATTCCCTCCCTTTTGATCTTTTAGGAGTACCAGGACTTTTCATTTTATTAGACATATTGCGTTAATAAGCGAAATATATATTTATATATATTTCGAATTCAATATTGAAGGCAGGGCAGGTATGGAGAGAGAATTTGAAAAGGAACGGTATTTAAATATTTAAATATTAATCACTAAATACGGTTATTAATCATACCATTGTATCCGTAAAAGGTAATTATATGACAATTTTGTTTTACCTATTAAAATGCTCTTAAAGCTTACAAAACAGAGTCTAGAACTGGCAAGGTTAGGTACGGAGTAACAATTTGGGTGACAATGTTTACATAAAGAATGAATATATTGTTATCGTAAACAAAAAAACCACATGAGATAGCAAATTCCATACATAACCCCTTAATAAGAGTGGAAATTTTTAGTTTTTGATTCAAATACATATCTTTTTGGAAACTCTCCTTTAACTATAACGTATGTCAAAATAAACATGCCATTTGATCTATTCCCAATAAAGTATCAATCGGAATTTAACGAGACTTCTCCGTATAGAAGTGGGGGGATAATATTAAAAAAAAATGATGTCAATAGAAAAATAGAGGAATTCCAAAGAAAAAAGAGAGATATCGACTTTTGTTGCTGATCTGCATGAATTGAATTATTATGGTTACACACCGCACTAAACACAAGTGTTCCATTTACTGATAAAAATTATCAGAAGAAAGCATATTGTTACATTTATATAAAACACTAACAAAAATACGATCAAATTATTTCATCGAAATTTATACTATCGACATATATAATATTAGATAATATTCAACATTTTCATATTTTTAACTTAAGTATTTATTTAATTTAACTGAATTTTTAAATTTTTAAAGCAATGTATTTTTTACTAATAAACAAGTTTACTCGGTTTATTAAAATTTAATTTATTAATTATTAAAATATTTTGAGTTTAAATAATCAATCAAACAATTAATATATTTTTTTATTTACAGAAAAAAAAAATATAATAATCAATTAAAACTTTAAATATATAAAAATTAATACAAATTGTATTAATTGTTTTTATATTTATAATCTTTTAAAACTTGATTTGTTAAAACTTAATTGTAACTAATTTGATATTTCATAATAAAAATCTAAAATTATTTTATAATTAGTATAAAAATTTATTTATCTTATTTTTTGTAATTTCTTTTTTCAATTATAAAATACTTAATTATTTATTATATAAAAAAAAAATTATGAATAAAATGATCAAGATAGATTTTAAAATTGATAAGAAACAAATTTTTAAATTAATAAATAATAATAAAAATATAAGATCTTTTATATATTAAATACAAATAAAAATTAATCTTAAAATCAAAATATTAGATTATTCTAATTACTTAAATTAAACCTTTAAAACTAAATATTATAATAATAATTATTAATATATAAAATATAAATTTATTTTATAATAAAAATGATATAATTTTTATTTAATTTAAATTATAAAATAATTTTATTACAAAATATTTGTAGTTACATTTTTTAATATTTAATTTTAATAATAATAGTAAAATTAAATAAAATTATAATATTAATTAAAAATCACAGTGAAAATTCATAATAATATTAAAGATAATTTTCAAAATAAATAATATAAAAATATTTCAAAGATTATACTTCAAAAACTTCAAGTGAATATAATAAATTATATAATAAGTTAATATATAATTAAAAAAATTGTAAATAATTACAAAAATTAAGTTTTATATTTAGTTAATTATATTTTTTTATTAATACAATAATAAATTTATTATCTTTAAAATATTTATCTTATTAGTATCAAGATTTAATTAAAATATAAAATATTTATACATATTAATAATTAATAAAATATATTAAATTAATAAAAAAATTAAGCTTACATGAAATTTTAATTGATCATTATATTAAAATTTTAATAAAATTTAAAAATTATATAATTATCTTAAAAAATTAAATTTTAATTAATTAATTTATATTATAATTTTTAAAAAAAAATAAAATTAATATTAAGATTGTCAAATAATTTTTTATTAACATACTTCTTAATAAAATTAAAATGATAATAGCAAAATATTACATCATAGTTAAAATAATTATGTTAGTTATAATTTAAAAAATCTGTTTTATATTAAAATATATTAATAAAATTTACTTATTATTAATTAAATTATAATATAGAATTTTTTTATATATTTTCAAATTCTTTTAAAATATTTGTAAAATCTTATAATATAAATATTATTTAATTGAAAAATTATTAGTTATCTTATTTAAAGTTTAAGTTTATAAATATGTAGAATAATATACAAACTGATAAATTTTTATTAAATTAATTTAATCTAATATATATTTTTATCAGATTTAATTTTAATACTTTAAACATATAACTTAAAGAATTATAATAATTATTTCTACTTATTAGAAATTATAGTCTTAAAAAATTCTTATTTTTCTATAAGTATTCAGAATTCTTAAATCAATTTTTTATTATTTATATAATTTAAATTTAAGATTATTTAATTGAACTTAATGATAAAATTAAAATAAATTAATATAATAAATTATAATTAAAATTTATATAAAGATATTTTAAAAGAAATATATATATAAAAATTATAATTAATTTCTTTATTATTTATTTAAACTTATGAAAAGTTTACAATTTGAATAAAAATTATTTTATTTATATAAATTAATTTATTATAGATAATTATCTACTATATTATAATTAATCAATAAAAATTTATATTATTTCTTAAAGTATAAGTTTAAATTATTATAAAATATTATAGAAAAATTATAATATTTTAATATTTAGTAATCATAAAAAGATAAAAAATATTTATTAGATAATTATAAAAAATAAATTTTAATTTATTGTATTTATCTTATTAAAACCTATTAAATAATTATATTTTCATATTTCTAAGATCAATATATAATAATATATATAAGTTTAAAATTTTCATATATATTTATCTTTAAAATATCACTAATTAATTATATATTTTTTTGAATTTTTACTTAAAAAATATTATAAATTTATTATAAAAATATTAATTTTTAAATAAATTATTTTAAAATATTTAAAATTATTATAAATAATTTTAATTAT